TTACTTGTGAAAAGTGATGCAGCAAATATGAATCTATAAATCTATGAAATCAATGAATTTTTCATTTATTATAAATTCAAAACTTATATTGAAACTTTTTTTACTATATCTTTTCTTTCTCTAAACAATTATTGAAAACTTCAGTTTACACATTTTCAATAAACTTGATGTACAAACACAAGCAGGTTGCTGAAAAGTTCTCAAGCTAACTGAAAAAACTCATCACATAAAAATCTTGTTTGGTCAGATTTTGGGAAGTGTCAGTCCAAGAACTTTTTATTACACATGTAATATATCCTTTTATCAAATAGCTGCTGTGTATATACTTTCCTCCATAGATCATTACAATCAATAGCAAAAAAATTCAACTTAAATTTTAATTTTTTGTCTTATTTCAACTTCATTATGATAACTTTTCATAGAATACCCGCAAAAATCAATTTCACTATAAAAAAGAAAATACATGCGAGCATTCATATTCACATATTTTGGAAAAATAAAATTAGAACAAATTGTAGGAAAAATGTAAATATAGAGGCAGCCCTTTTCAAGGCTTTTTCTTTTAGCAAAAGAGGAAAAAAAATTATAAAAAAATGCTTTTCCTATGTATATATCTAATGATAGTCACCACCTGAGATCTAAAAAAAGAAAAATAAATCTATCCTTCCTCAGTGTTAAAACCAAAGTCTGTATGAAAACTAAATATTTTTATACTTTTTGATTTTTCTCTATGTTATGATGATAGATGCCAAAGGAAGTAATCAAAATTAGGCATGTTGTGTAGAAAGCATTTACAAATTAAATGATCTAACATATTGGGTTGCTTCCTTTTCATATGCTACTTATAATACAGATAAGTTGAAGAAATCATTTTCTTGACATACTATCAGAAACTGAGGATTAAAAGGTTGTATTTGTTTTAACAGAATAATCATCTTATATTTATTAAGTGCAGATTGCAGAGAATTTTAATTATTCATTAAAACTATATAATTCCATTATGGAATTTGCTTTGATAAACTCCTATAGATATTTGATTACAATGAATTTAAGCAGACCTGTTCAATTCCTATTAAAATATTGCTTGTTGGTGGATTTTATATGAAGCCAATTCTTTCATAGCTTTGACAAATGACAGTATTTTTTAGCTTACTTTATTTCTTACAAAAAAATACCTGCATTTGATTTTTTAATCAAACCCAGCATCATGCAAGAGTGTACTGGTTTATACTTGTACTGTTTTTTGTATTACTTAGCATGATGTTGACATATGCCACAGAAATGAATGGCAATAATGTGTATATCTGCACATACAAAAATAGCAACCTGTTCAACTGAAACTCTTTGGTCAGAGATTACCTGCTTGCAGATAATGCAGAATTAGTTGTTATATAGGAACAGCTCTCCAGCAGGTAACATACTGCTTTTGCAATGACCTGAAAAATCTTTGGCACAGAGGTCAGTCTTAAAATGGCATTCATTCTTCAGTAACCTGTGCCAAACCAAAAAATATCACTTACTTTTTGTTTCTCAAAATACAGAATCTGCTGACAGGGCAGAATACAAGCACTAGATCTATTAAACAATCTCCCTTTCAGAAGTAAGCTACAGATAAGAGTAGTTAAAAATTTCAGCTCCACAAAGCCAGGGCTGACACTGGCTTCCAGAATCTCTCGTACCCTTGATATAAAAGTGCATGGCCATCCTCTATAGGACTCTTTATCTAACTTAGCAACAAATATGGAATACCTGCCTATATCTTTGTTGGCAATGCCAAGCCTTAGTAGCAATAGGCATGTAGAAAATACAATTTTTTGAAACTGGAAAGAGTGTTTTAGCATCCCCCTACAAAAAAATAATATGGCATCATATCTAAGTGACTCCCCATAACTATATCATCTCTCATCACCAAAGCTCAAAAAAAAATTATCCCTTCAAAATAATATCACATACATGTTTTTATATATATATATATATAATATACTGACCTAAGCTGTTAGTATTGTTGTTATTCTGTCTGATTAATTCATTTGAAGTTATTTCATGATTTAAAACATGATCATGTTTAATTTGTAAAGAGATAAAAAAAATAATCTTGCAAATATAATAAAAATAACATTTAAAATTAATTACAGTCTTGACAAACACTTTATCTACAATTTACCAAGGTTGAGAACTCATAATGTTTGTTTTGACTATTCATTAAATTTTCTTGTCACAATAATTCTTAATTAAAAAAATAAAAACAGAATAAAGTTAAAATAATTTTCTGAATTTATATCTAAACATTAAATATAGAGAATGTGCTCTTACTTTTCTCTTTCTTTCTTGTTCCCTGCCTACAGGTTATGAAGGTAATTACATTTTAATTCTTCATTTTCTCTTGCTTTTATAAAATCTAATTGTCTTTGTATACTTGCTGCTTTTACACTTTATTTTTTACTCAACTTTCTCTATGAAGTAGTTTTCCCAACTTCAATCATTTATATCTCATTTTCATTATTCTAGTAACAGTAATTGCATGCATTCTATGATGTACGCTTTATCTTAAATAATTTTTACTCTTTTTTTTTAATAGTGCTTTTAATATGCTGTTGTGGTTTCTGTATAATCTCTACAATATGTAAATATAATTATCCCTCAAATCTAAATGGCAATCTGTATGAATGATAAAAATACTGGGCTTAAAATCTTATTCAAACAATATCACCTTAAAAATGGTAGCTCTGTACAATATTTAAATTTCTTTCTTTTACGAAATTACAAGTGGTCCAATAACTTTCAGCTTTGACTAATCTTTGATTAACTCTTTGTTGAAAAAGGAATTTTGAAATTGACATTTAATGTAGCTATAGATCAATATTATTGGATAGCTTAAAAAGTTTGTTTTATTTTTATCTTCAGATGGCATGAGGATGATTTAGTTTTAATTAACTCCATTCAAAAATATTGCTTCAGATTGAATTTTGTCAATTATTATAGAGGGTTCATTTCTTTCATTTAATTTATTGAAATCTGTGTATTTTTATTGAATATATAGTACTGAAGATGGAAGATGAATAATTTATTTATTTATTTATTTATTTTGTATATTATGCTTTATTTTAGAAAAAGCAAAAAATGTGACTCAAATACTAGAAATTGTTTTTCTTTATAGAGAGCGTAGGGTAAATAAACAGATATGAAAAGGAATTTTCAAAGTTTTATGATGGTAATTTCTTGCTGAATGATGTTCCATAACATTTAGGGTTATAGTAAGGAAATGAACACATTATTTAAAGACTATCAATACTCTATGACATAGAAGCTGTTCAATATACTCAAAATATCTAAATCAAATGTTAAAAATCATTTTCATTAGTTTGATAAAATTTGAAGTTAAAAAAGAAGAATTACTGGACCATATTGACAAGTTTGATTTACTGTTCAGTTTTAAATAAATTATGATGAACAGTGAAAAGTGAACACTTTGTCACAATGAATAATGAAGAGATCCTAAGACAAGCAAAATAAGCCACCATTAACTTTTTTGTTTAAGTAAAAATAAAATAAATATTTCTTGACAACTTATTTTGTTGTTCCGTTTCCTTTTATCTTTTTTATCTTTCTCAACAAGTTCTTTGTTGAGAAAGATAAAAATTATCTAAGAGGATAGCATTTTTTAATCTGAATAAATGCAGGAAACTGAACAACAAAATAAGTTGTCAAGAAATATTTATTTTATTTTTACTTAAACAAACTTTTTAGCTATCTAATAATTCGAGAAATGACTAATGAAGGCATCTCTTACCTATTCACCTGGGCTGATGTTAGTTTGAATTTCTTAATTTTTTGTTGATATATTTTATTTGCTGCATGATGAAATTAGTTCATAATGCCATTTGTACTATAACAATATCCCTTTTCATTTTTTATCTTAATTCATACTGAGCTTCATTATCCAGTTCATTATCTGTGTAATAAAGTGCCAATTATAAGTTTGGGTTAGTATTCAAGTGTAGCTTATTGTGGAGTTCTTATATTTAATATTTAGAATATATTTGTTTTTATTTCAAAATAAGTATTTAAGAAAATTTTGCAATTTTATAGCTTATTAGAAAATTTGTAAAAAGAAATTTAATTTTTTATCTAGTTTAAAAGAAATAGGATTACAACTAGTTAAATGACAAGTTCATGCCAAATATAAATATTAATTGTATTTATTTAAATCTTTGAGGAACATTTGAACTTCAGTTTATTTAAAAAAAAAAAAAAAAAGGACAAAACTTGTAGATTAGAAATATATTAAATTGCCAAAATATGTTCTCTAATGCTCCCTAAGTATACTTTTGGTTTTTATCATCACATATTTCACCTGCCTCATATATTTTTCACCTATTTTATTCATTAAATTAGATATGATTTTTCCCTGTTTTACTTAACCCATTTCCTCATGGCATTAGTTAAAACTAATACCTTCTTTCTTTCATATATTGTAACCATTTTGCTTAAAGTTTGTATTATCAATATTTCAGATAAAAACCTGGAAATTTTCCAATATATTTCAGTGAAATTTTTCCTTTCCAAAATTATAGTTTAGATATATAGAAAAAGAAGGCATCAGTTTAAACTGACACAAATAGAATATGGTTTTATAAAAGTTACTTAGCTTTTTCTATTTGTTATAACATTTAATGTTCTTATTTAAATAAGATTTATGTGATAATAGAAGTAGTAACAATTATGCATATAATTTATCACATGATTTTCCAAGAGTAATTGTTGTCCAGCTTATATCTATTATACATTACAGATGTGCGTTGATAATGTCAAACTTGAATTTTTTTCTATTCTTTAATAAACAAATAAATTATGTAGTTTTGTAATTTTTCTAGCATTTTAAATATTGGTTTTATTTTCTTTTATAACATATTTTTCCTAACTTATGACTATCAATTGCAGATCTTCCTGAGAAAGATGCTGTTGAACTGGAGAGCAAACTGCAAGCTCTCAATTCAATTATGGATCAGGGGCTTAATCAGGTAGCCATTAGATACTTATTCTCTCTTCAAGGTGGTCTAGCATTGCCTGAATTTTTAAACTAGTAGTAAGAGCAGCACAGAAAATCAACTTGATTAATCAGTAGTTTTTATTAACAAAACATTATAATCCAGAAAATTAGGATAAATTGTACTTTTTGTATTCATATAGCAAATTTAAGAAAATTGCCTCAAATAAAGAGGTGCTAACTTAGCCTAGTTTGGCACAAGGCAACAAATGTGGCGCATCTTGTGTAGAATCCATTCATTACAATTGTAATGGTCTTCAAGACTAGGTTATCAATAATTTCTCCACGTAAAGCTGAAGATGGTATAGATGTTTAATGGAAAACTCACGCTTTCTTAAATCTATCATGTATGCACAAATTTCTCATTAGATACGTTTTTACTAAAGTTTTCTTTTTTCCTATGGTACAACTTGCAACCCCTATTTCAAGACGTTTAAATTTACAATTGAGAAAAAAGAAAATTATATCTAATTATTCAATAAGTCTTCAAGGAAAATGAGAAATGTATTGAAATTATTAACAAATATTGCAAGTTGATCATAGAATAGACAAATGCAAATTATAAAATCTATTAAACTACAGTTTTGCTTGTACAAATTTTCACATGCTTATCTGAGAATGTTTTGACAGACAAGATAAACTGCATGTGTTGGCAATATATAACTTTGAATAGTGATCATGAAAGCCATTTTACTACAGGCAAATCTAGGTCACCTTGCTAGTTCTCTTCACTATGGCTTTATAGCTATCTTTTATCAATATGTTTTTCTTTTGCTTTTAGATGTCTAACAGAACCTTATAATAACTTATTTTGATTATATTCTTATTACTGACTGAATAATAGCCTTAGTAAGTAAATGAAATTTAAATCTTTTCTACTTTTTTCCTTTTAGTATGATTCAAATCAGGACCAGCTACGGAGACAAACCTACTCGCAATGTAAGTCAAAAAGGATTTCTTAAAATCTTTTCAAATACTAAATATTTTTTAAAAATCTAAATAAATTATTAACTGTAGGAAATCTTTTTTGTAAAATCTAAATCTAGCTAGAAAATGCAAATTTAAACTGAATTTTATTAAACTCCTCAAATTTTCATTGTTAAACAATCTCCCTTAGAATATATTTTAGTAGGTAGCACCCCCAATTCTGGTATTGCAAAAATATTTTTTGAACAATTTAGATTAAATATTTTCTTCAGTATTGAGAACAAACTAGGGGAAAAATAACAAATCAATTTGTGTCAAGTATATAAACTTTATTTAAACTGTAAACTATAATATTGGTCTGTATAATTTTAATTTCTTTTTTAACTTCAGAGGGTTCGAGGCCATAAATGAGTTTCTGTATCAGTTTTCTATCTGATGGACATATTGCTTTTTTTGTGCCATTAAAATAATTTCTCTTATTTTTGTTAAATTATTAATGAAAAGATTTAACTGCTTATTTTATTCATATAAAATCAAAATTCAAAAAACAGAATTCTATTTTGTTATAATCATTTGAAAATATAAGTTTTAATTTTCCAAAAGAAAATTTATAGATGTTTTTTCTTAGATTTAAAAATATTTTAGATAATGCTGCTTGACTTATAAATTTTAAATATTTCTTACTATATGTTTAAATATATAATATATTTTTAGTTTGTATATTCCAAGCTTTGTCAGCACTGTTGAACTCCTTTATTTATTAATGTTCTAACCATTTTTCTGCTACATCCATTCCTCAGGTGTAGGATACATATATTTAGTTTGTGTAGTTTACCTGCTTTCCCATAATTCAACAGTCACAAAATATAAGTTTTTTCTTCAATTTTTCTAGCATGGTTTTATTTCATGTGTGTTTGTGTGTGAAAAGAAATAATTTCAGTGAATGCTTTTCTAAAATTTATCTGATCTAGCATAACATTTTGGTCCCATCCTTTTACTTTTGTGTATATCTGGATCTTTTAAGCTGAAGTTTTAAGTTGCTCATCAAAGCAGACAATGAACTCCAAGTCAGGCAAAAAGATAGAAAATTCTTCACAAATCATTTCATTATCCATGAATTTCAAACTCGGAATTCTTTTACTTAATATCTTTTACTTTTCCCACTCCTTTGTTTACGTTGTTTTTGTTTTTTTTTTCTTTTTTACTAAAAATATATACCTATATTTCTTACTTTAACTGCTCCTACTTTTACACATAAAAAAATGCTTTTTATACTAAGAATAACTTTTGAAAATTGTAGGAATCAATATTGAAACCCTAATTTTAATAATTAAAATCCATTTGATGACAGTGACTTAATCTATTTCTTAAAATATAAAAATGGATGTGCTTCATCATCTGACTATATTTTCTTCATAGATACTGGGAATAGATACTTAAAATGATATTTTATAATCTTATATATAGAAAATTTTAAATAATTTAAAAATATGTTCTGGAATTTTTAAAGAAACTTTTACTGACAGGAAGGCCAATTATAAAACTTTGACATAAAAATGAAACACATTTCAACATTCCTTCCAATTGCAACCCTTATTTTTTCCTTAAAACCGTCAGGCCTATGAAATTTCTACAACTTTTGCCCATACCATAAACTGGTTGCAACTCATTTTATCTATGGAGTGTTTACTTTTTCCAGTTTCACCTGTATCTGCTGATCAAGGCCTCGATTCGTCACTTAACAGTGATGAGCATATGGGCCAACATAATCTGATCAACTCTTTGAAGGATGCTGTTGGTCGTCCTTTACCAAGTAAGATTACCTCAGTGTCTCTTACACCTACCTACCTACCTGAAACACTTGTTGTTATTATTCCTTGTGTACTCTCCAATATCCATACAGTTAATATCCTCATTGTCATCATCATCATCATTAGTCTATAGACCCAAGTGATTGCCATTGTGCTATTATTGTTTATTAGTGCCTGCCTGCCTGCTGTTTGTGTTTTTATTCCCCTCCTGCCCTCCCCAAATTATTCAATGTTTAGTGGTCAGGTAACTTAGAATATGGACACTTAACAGGGATGCAACCTTGGAAATAAAAGTATGGATAGCTATTATAATCATCATCAGATCCTTTACTGAATCTTTGGATATGCTTCTCTACTTTAGGTGTGGAATAAATTCTAAATAACATTTCTTTTGATATACTTTCTTGCATTTAGAGATGTTGAATTTGATTTAAACATGCAAGAGACATTATTCCTGACAAATTATTCATACATCCTTTCAAAATGTTTGCATTTATATTTCTCTATGTACATTTACATATTTCATTTTTAAAAAATGGAAAAAGTTAATGGACTTTGACTTAGGTCAGAAAAAAATATTCTAAAAGGATTTTTACTGCTTAATTTATTTCCAAGTCAATATTGAAATTTTTATTTTAAGACATATTTCATTTAAAAACTAGATATATGCTGTTTTACTGTTTGTAATCTTAATAATTTTAGAGAGCAAAGACTATTTTCTATTTATAGCAAAAATGCATTTTCTTATAATTATAAAGAGTAATCACTCCTTTTTATAATAATTTCTAAGAATTATAAAGATCAACAAGTTATACTACAATGCAAGAAAATGGTGTCCCTAAAAAAATTGACATAATTTAAAATGTAAATATCTGATTAACTACAGGATTTATGTTAAACAATAAAAGATTTATTTATCAAAATTCAGACAAGATATTCAAAGGGATGTAGACTTTATAACCGATTTCACAAAGCTTCACTATGCACACTACCTGTGACATGACACACATCAAGTCAGTTGTCCAGCTCCTACCAAACATGCTGTAGCATATCTTGCACAACATTCTCCAGCAACTCAGTGATTCTCTGCTTAAGTTCTTCTAGGCTTGTAGGGTGAGGGAGATATTGACCTGTTCTTTTACATAGCCCAATAGAAAAAAATCACAAGGTGTCAAGTCAGGTGAACGTGGTAACCATTTCAACAGCACATTGTCATTATCACTGGCATGCCTGATCTACCTTCCAGATAGATTCTCATTGTGATAAGTCTGCATAGTCAACTTAGTTTTTATACATTTTGTTAAAATTTGAAATTATTCAAGTGAGAATTGGTTGTTATTAGACTACAAAATCATATGGGGGGGGCACTCCGTAGTATTCACTTTAAAAAAAAGTAAGCTTTTGTATCTTTTTGTTTTAAATTTTTTAACAAAATTTTTGCAAATGATAAACTGCATTAGGATTGGTATATATTTGAAAATCTCCTTCCTTATAAATAGACCAGTTTATTTAGTAGTTCTTTGCAATATATATGATGTATGGCTTCTTTGAAAGCTTAAACAAATGACTGTTTTCATGTATTAACATAAAAATGCTTCAGCACACTTATTACCATAATTGCTTGATATTTTCAATTTTAAGTGTTTACATTCCTATTTAGACAAAATGCAACAGGTGATCACTTTTTTAAATCTTGCTTTTTATCTGATGAGAACTGTCACACCAGTTTGCTTGTTTGATGTGAGTTTCACAAAAATTTCAGAGGCATATCAGTAGAAATCACAGACATTATTAAAGTATTTCCTGATTTTTCATTTAATTTCAGTGGAAAAATGCTGTCTGAGAATGATCTCTGGTACCCAATAGTCAAGTTAAGCAAATTACACTTGGTATCTCCTCATTGTTTTTCAATTAGAATGGATCAAGTTTGTGTAATTGAATATTTTAAACTGTAAAGTTCTGTCCTGGGATGAGTAGACTTGCTTTAGAACTTAATGCTCATTATATAAATATTTCATCAATAAAAATAACTAATTCCACAAGAACCATTACAGAAATTCTTAGGGTTATTATTTTCATCCTTGTTAGTTTTATTGTTGACTTCCAAAGAAAAAAAAGTTGTTGGCTGCAAGAAATTTTGACATTAAGATTGTGAATTGGTAACAAATAGCTTCTAAGAATGAATTATTCACTTGCCAAAGACTGAAAAATCTATCCGCAAAAATACAGTGATAAAACCAACAACAATGAGAATATGATCAGAGCATGGAATAATGATAATGATTTGTTTCAGAATTTCAAACAGTATTTATTATTAAAGAACTTTGTGATTTATCAGAATAGAGTGAAATCATTTCATGAATTTAAAAAATAAATTTTATAAAATAATGAATTCACATGTACAATATTCAGACTTTGTTTTCACATTCGGGATAAAAAAAAATTACAGGGAAATGTATCATTCTAGTCATTCAAAATTTAATCAGAAATTCCACAAAAAGTTAATTTAAAAGCTATTCAAGCAATTGATATTTTTTTAAATATATAGTATCAGTGCATATTTTATATATAAGAATGTTATAAGGAAATCCTAATGTGAGTAAATATTTTAATATCTTTATGTAAATATAATAAATCTTATCACTTCAGAATATGAAACCAAGAAGTGAATATTTTAATCAGATATAAGTGATTTTTAAACAATGATTTTTATATGAATTTAATATGAGATAATTTTGAATAAAATTTGATTTCCAAACAATTTATCAATATTATTCCAAGATTTTATCCCTGTTTATATTGGAGAGGTTTCTTTCTCTAAATGTGTATATTTCTTTTGCTTCTGAACAACCTGTTTGCTTATTAATTAGTTTTTGCACTCAATGTTATTAATTTGCACATCACTCTTTATGCAAATAACATGTCAAATGTGCATAATTTTACTAATTTAAAAAAATATTTTATCAATAAAACTGAATCAATAGAAAAATTGTCACATTCCTCTTTTCACTTCAATCACAAACTTTTTGTTTCATAAAAATTTTGCCTGCATGTCCAGATGCCTGACTTGTCGTTCCAATATCCTGTACTCAATTATAAAGTCTTCCAGCAGGATTAATATTTTATGTCCAATTCATATACTTTTATGTCCATTTCCAACCACCAACAAGACTTCATAGTTTAGTTTGAAATTCACTGGTGATTCTTGCTGATTAGTTAGCATTTGCATCATTCAGTTCTTTCCCTTGTTCAGTCAGCACTTTTATTTGCACAATTCCTTCTCAGTACCAAATTTTATTGAATGAGTTTGAAAGTTGGGGTAAAAAATAAAATGTACTTACTTCCTTTTTTATGAGTTATTCTTTTAAAATTTCTTGTGCTTTATATTGCCCTACTGACATTCTTACTATTCACATTTTTGTTTTCATATTTTTCAATCCCTTTGATTTTAATGTGGCACCTTCATTCCCTTTTTTTCTTTTTCCATTCCTTTCCTTTTTTTTTTCATTTTCTCTCTGACCTTATCTTTTTCTTTATATTTTTTCCCAACTGTTTTTGACTCTTTTTCTTTCTCTGGCCCAAACTTTGATTACTTTTTAGTAATAATTTTTTCTTCATTTTTAGGTTTTGTTCCTATTTTTTATTCTTAAACTTCTTTCACAGGAAAAAACTTTAACATTACAGTTAATTTCTCCTAAATAGAAATATATTGCTTATCTAACTGCAATTGCACAAAAAATAAGAAAAAAATGATCAATTTAAGCTAATATTCTTCCCTTTACTGTTTATTACAATACTTTCTGATCATTTTTTTCTTGCATCATCATCTAAAAACTTTAACAAAAGAATATGTGATGTGAAATATTAAAATGGCCACAATGTTTCCTGTACATGCATGTTGTATTCAGTAAACTTTATTTCAATATATTATTGAACTGCCAAACTATAGTGTCTGCCTTATTTTTGATTGACTAGGAAAATTAAAGTTTATCTTTTAGATCTTTATTGAAGAAAATACCTGATCAAGACAAGTAATTATGTCTTTTCAATAATAATAATGAAAGCAGTCCAACTTCAAATAATTGAATATATTGATCATGAGGGACATGTTTTTTTTATTAATTCTTCTTTACAAATACCATATATAATATAGTTGACAATTTCTTATAGTTATTAACTTAGGGAAAAATTCTTTCCCATTTAATTTTTGTAAGTAAATGTAATCAAAATGACATTTGGGGCTGAGATGGATTTTATGAAAAACAACTTTATAAAGGATCTTCATAGTTTTTTTTTTTACACTTCCTCTATTTAACTACTGGAATAAATTTAACAAATTATTAAAATCAATATCCGAGATTTATGTTGCTTTGTCTATACTGAAAAGTAATTTCCTTTTAGAATTAAAAATTATTTTACTTATAGTGATAGATATCTTGAAACTTTTAAATGCATTTAATATCTGCAAATGAAGCATTTAAATAATTTCTCAAAAATATTCTTTTGTGCATTCTTTGTTGCATCTTCTGTACATATAAAAACTTAGCATATAAAATCCATTGAAACCATGACTAGATACTCTGTTAATACCAATTTAACAGAATGTGAAGAGTAAATTTTAAATGAAGTTGCCTGTAAAATTTACTGTTATTTATATTCTGGTAATATCAGAAATGTAATAGCTTTGGTCTACAGTTAGAATTGTCTCTGCCTCAAATCTAATATTTGTTGGAAGCCCGTCAAAGTCGTTACTTAATGGTACAGTTAGAATATTAGCATTATAACTTGTAAGTTCCCATTCAACATATTCTCATACTAAATAATCCTACAAGCAGATTTAAATTTACTTTACATTTGAAACAGTTTCAAAATACGACAATAATTCCTCATTGTTGCTATTTTAATTCTTATTTTCTGATAAATATTCTTGAGAAAGATTATAAATTCTTACAGGTATTCAATATCAGATGCGACATTTGTAATTATTTTTTCTTCTTTTTTATGTGGAAGCATTTAAAACCTAAAATCTATTGATATTTAAATCTTTTCACACTTAAATTAATCAATGTTCTTCCCACTGCTGAAGAAAAAGATGCAATAAAAAAACTGTTGTTAGTATGTAGAATTTGATATGCATTGTGATAAGGCACTGCCACCTAAAATTAGCAAATACTGTTTTATGTACAGTACACTTTTAATTTTAAAGTAACTCATTGTTCATGATTCTCGTCTTTCAAAAGTTTAGAACAAGTATGAAGCATTAGAACATTTAAGGGACTCAAAGTGGAATGCCTTCAGGGAAGCACTAGGGACCACAACAAAAGAAGTCAGTCTGAGGAAAGACAAATAAGAAAGGAAAAAATTGATAATTAGTAAAATTCTCAAACTCTTAAAGGTGATATAGTAGATAATGCCAAGTAATGACAGAGAGCATATAAAGCTAAACAAAATCATTAGAAATAAGTGCATGCAGTCAAAAAGTAATGGCTAAGTGGAAAATGTGCAGAAATTGAAAAAGATCAAAGAAATATCAGTACAGAAAATATGCTCTTCAACAGGATGTATAAAATCTAAAGTGGGAACCATTATGAAAAAGAAGGCGTTGCAATGGTAGAATAAGGACATGGTTCTACCATGACAACACAGAAGGAAAACCTACAATACATAAAAGCATAGCAGTAACTAATACTAAACACTGAAGTAAGAACAGCAGTAGCCAAGTTTTAGATGAGATTGTCATCGAGATGTCTCTGGGATAGATAAGTTTAATGAAGTGATAAACCAAATATATAATACCAGAAAAATTGATTGTTTTAGATCAAACAATCAATTTTTCATAGAGCAAACTTCATTAAACAATCAACTTGATAAAGTTAATAATTTAGATTTTAATGACTAGAGCTTGTAACAGAGTGAAAATGAAGGAAGGATAGTTTGTCTTTAAGATACTGAAACAATGCAATTTTCATGGTCAAGAATAAGCAATTAAAATGCCAAAAGACCTATGCCTGTTTTTCATACATAACAAATGCATTCAATGAAATAAAGAATTTCTTGAAATGCTAGAAAAACTTCATCTACATGGAAAGGATATCCAAATAATCTATAGTTTATATTGGGAACAAACAACTTCTCTGCAAACAGACAATGAATTGAGTGAACACACCAAAATAGAAAGGAGTTTTTCACCAGACTAATTTAACCTGTACAGAAGAATGATTTTAAGAGTATTAGTGTATCTGTCAGAATTTATTATCAGTGGACATAGCTTTTATAACATATGCTATTTAGAAATTACTGTTGATGGAAAATTTAGAAAGAAAACCACAGAAAGCTGTTAGATGATGAAAACAAAGAAAGGACGAAACCCTTATTTTATACTAGCTTAAAAGCCTCCTATCAGGTGGCTAGCTCCTGCAGTGGGCTCTTGCTTGGGCCTTCATCACAATAGGTAAGGAAGAGTAGATGCGATAGGCAACAATAAACTGCAGAACTCAAAATTGATCACTGCATTTAAGTACTGCATTAATATTTAAGTTGCCATTTGCTTATGAAAGGCTGGTATGAAATTACAATTATTATTTGTTACAACCAGTTGAAAAAAGTTGAGGCCAACATATTTATACACAACCAAACATCTTTATACATATTTAATTCAATGTGTAAAAAAATGCTAATTTAAATATATCTGAGTCTGGCTCATTTTTTTAAAATTAATTGGAATTATTTAATTGTTTGTGTCATTTTTCATTTCAGCTGGTATGTCAGAAGACAGTGACTATACAAGCGACGTCAACTTCCCAGTGCAACACCACCACAACAGTTCCGCTCACCAGTTTCGAGGAGAACATCAATTTCGGCTGCAGCATGAGGACAGTAAAGAATACTACAATAATGAATCCTTTGATCGGGGATACGAGCGAGAACCAGATTACTACCAAGATGGTGGCATGTATTACCCTGGCAGAAGTGACACTGACTCCGAACCTTTGTATTATAATAGCCGGCCTAACAGCAGGCCACAGTCATTTGTCAATGACAGGTACTTATATGAATTGTTTATTTTTCCAATTTATTGCAAAAAAGAAAAAAAATGCTGCTTCCCTGTTCTCTTAGTTCAGCACATCATTTTAAATGTCTATTTTGGCGATGTGACAAATAGGGCGATCATCTTTTGTCAGTGCTATTAAAAATGGTAGTCACGGGACATCTGAAATTTTGTTTATGCAACTTCATTTTTTTAGATATTTGTTTTAAAAAACATAAAAAAATGAAGTTGTGTTCTCCATTTGATGAAAACAAAGTGACTAAAAAAATAAGAGGGTTAAATAACTTTTTATCTCACAGAAAAAATACAAACAAAAACCAAATCAGCCTTGTTTCAGCTGCAGCCATAACCCACCATAACTACTACTATCATCTCTACCATGGAAAACACTGTAGTTAGACTCTTGCTGTATGTAGAGCTGCCCACAATCATTTCAAGAGTTTTCTAGAAAATGCAAAGAACATCTTTGCACAGTCATTCAAGCCAAGGTTGAAAACAAAGAACTTGGTTTTTGTGAGTTCTGGAAAATCTTAAATAAATTCTTAATAGACAGTGCCAGCTATCATAAATGATCCTGAGATTATTTCATTCTCATCTGACAAAGCAAGGTACTTTGTAATGAATTTTGCCTCTAATTCTATGTTAGATGCTAAGGACCACCCCATACCTGACATCCCCATTTTCACAGAGCACAATCTTTGTAATGTCTCTATCATGATACAGTAAGTTTCCAGATTTATCAAAAGCCTTGACTCTAAGAAGGCTACCAGTTCAGATAAATTCTCAGTGGTTGTTCTTAAGAACATTAGCTAAAAGTTATCACTAATCCTGGCAAAACTGTTTAACCACTGCCTGAAAGAAAGATTCTTCCTAAGTCTATGGAAGGTGTCAACTGGTTTAAGAATGTAAGTGAGCACTCATCCCCTTTGCAATATCAACCCATTAGCTTCCTTAGTGTCATCAGCAAAGAAGAATAGGGACAGCCTCCTGAACAATAACCAAATAAATATTTCATTCTGATGGGTTCACATGCTGATGTCCTATCATTACTTGATAGAATCAGTGAGGTGCTAGACAATAAATCCATCACAAAAACCATCACCTTAGATATATCAAATGCCTTTGACAAGGTGTGGCATTGGAGTTAGCTGCATAAAGTCTCCAGCTATGGAAACTCTAGAAGGGTTTTCTTAATTATTAAGTCCTTTCTGACAAGTAAATTCATGAAAGTTTTTTTTTTTGTTTTTGTTTTTTTTTTTTTGAATGGCCAGTCATCGGAAGCCGACGAGATCATTGCATTGCTGGTATTCCCCAACACTCTCTTCTCGGTCCTACCCTCTTTTCTGCTTAAGAACATACTCGGATACTCAGCTCTTTAGTAAATATCTATGCAGGAAATGCAACAGTTTACCAGAGCACCTCCAAATCTCTGGATGACCAAAACCTGGCCACTGATCTCTCCTCTGACCTATCCCTGGTGACAGAATGGGGAAAGGATTGGCTTGTAACATTCAATACATCCAAAACCAAACTAGTAATGTTCCAGCACCACTGAACAGACCCTGAACTTTCACCTATCATGAAGACTGGGTGTTCTCTTAAGGAGCCTCTTTGGGACTCAAGTTCATTCCACACATTAAGTGGAACTCATATATATATATATATATATAAAAATATATATGATCCATTGCTAAAGATGCTGGAAAACTGGTTGGTTCTAGGTACCACTTCAGTAAGTATGTGACTTCTCCTGCTATACTCTCTTCACAAAAGCCAGATCAGACCAAAACTTTGAGTATTGCTGCCATATCTGGATTGGAGCTGCTCAATCCTCTCTTGTCTATTTTAATTTCAAAAATGTCTACAAAGCCATGTGGGTAAGGAATTAATTTCCACCTCACAAACAATTGCGAGCCTCTCACTACTCTATCACTATTTCCATGGTAAATGTTCTGATGAGCTACAGGCCATGTACATGAGGACAAATCATCCTCATTCCCTTAATATTCCATTAGTAAAAAGGAAGTTTCACTTTGATAGCTTCTTCCCAAGAACTGCAACTTTGTAAAACAGACTCCCAAAAGTCTACAATCATAACCTCTTTAAGTCCAATATTAACCACTCTCTCTCTCTCTCTTACATAACCTCATAAACTGCACTTATTACTGCCTCTTCTTTCATTTGTACATCATCATTCAGTAATCCTCTATCATGAATGTCTCCTTGGCTTTGTACTGAGTAAAAAAAAATCACGGTTGTCTTAGGCAATCATTTTATATATATCAAACAATTGTGTTTAATAGATGAAAATTACTAAGCTAGTGTTGATAAAAGAAAGCCATTTATATTTTGTTTTTATGAAATTTATAAATCCATCTTGTATTTTTGTCTATCTTTTAAACTATTCTTGTCCTAGAAAGTTAAAATATTTATTAATAAAAAATTAAAAATAATTTGTTAAATTTAACTTAAATTCAAAAAATTACCTTTCATACATTCTGTTAATTACCGCAATAAAATACTTCTAATTCAAATAATACTTTGTGAAGGAAATGAAGAAAAACAAGACAATGTCTTGTTTTTCACATGGTAAAAGAGAAAAGTATCTTTTATATTATGAGAATTATAGAAGTTTCAGGAGTAATGTGTAAAGTACATATATATTTGACAAAACATAATCAATTTTATTTCAAGTATATTATTGTTTAATTAAAAACATTTTTTTAAATCATTTCACCCCAAACAAGGTGATAATGCCATTAGGATGCAACGGGTTACTGGCAGTGAAAGAGCATGAGAAGACTTTAATGAGGAGAAAGGGAAATAAAAGAATGAGATTCGGGAAGACAGATGATGGGGATTGGCATTGCATTTAAATTTTTAGTTGAATGTGTCAAGGAAGCAAGAGACAGGAAGAGTTCAATAGGCAAGAAAATTAACTATTAGAATAGAACTTATGGTTATATCTAGCTAGTTTAACAGTAAAATTGTGAGGCCTAGTTGCCAATCTAGTACTGTGCTTAAATTCATTGAGTTACCAAAGAAGAAAGCTCATCAGAACAGTTGCCATGAATATATTTATACAAAAGTCACATTATGATGGTGGGTAGTGACTGTAGTTAAGATACCAGTTCAGGACCAGTTACATTGCAGATCCTTTGTTGGATGTTGTCAAGAATCATAAGATATATAGCAAGAGACTAGATATGTCAGCAGTATTCAGTGCATGGATGAATGGTAGATTTATAAATATGCAAGATGGATTCTGACTAGATATGTCAGCAGTATTCAGTGCATGGATGAATGGTAGATTTATAAATATGCAAGATGGATTCTGACTAGAAAAATTGTCTGGCATGATGCAGCAGTTGATTCAATATAATTACTCCACTTCATGTCAGTTGAAAACATGAGCCCAGGAAGGCACAAAGAGTTGCTCTTCTGGAAGTTAGCATCAGCCATCCTGATGACAGAAAAAGGTTCTTCAAGATGATTAAATGATAGCAGTTTTGTTTTGGAAGCATTAAAATTTATAAGCTATTTCTTGCCCCAGTTAACCACTGATTGGCGGTCATTTTTCAAGAGGATCTGTCAGTTTTACTTTTTAGGACCAAACAAACTTATTACAAAGACCAGAGTAAATAGCATAAATACATAGTTGGGAAGTGATGACATCAAGAAAGTCATTGATGAAGACAAGAAACAACGTAGATGCAAGGATAGGTCCCTAGGGGACCCATGCATTAATGAGAAATAATCTAAAAGCATGGTCATTCAACATAAACTTCATTACATGATTTGTTAAAAATAATTAGACTAAGCCAAATATTTGGCCAGAGACACCATAGCCCTTGGTCTTGTGAAGAAGACCAGCATGCAAAACCCTGTTAAATGTCATTAAATACTAAAAATTTAATATTTATCCTTTACAGGAAAGAATATTTACTTTGTTTTGTAATCTGATTAGTAAATGGTAATAAAAATACTATTTTCAACACTTGCTTCATAACATCTTTTGTTCCAGACTGACTTTATCAAGTACATACTTAAAATATCAGCAGTTTTTGTCATTAGATACCAATGCTCTTGTAACTGTACTTTCTGTCCTTAGCATTTAATCGCCAAGACAAGGAAGTAAAGATTTAGAACTTGTTTAAATTAAGAGAAGGATTTTTTTTCTTTATAACATCATCATCTTGGTAAATATATGTAATGGATATATATTGATTGCTGCATGAACCCTATTGCAAGCATTGTGTTGTGATTTATAGTCATTATAGATAGATAACAATTCTGTTAATATAGTGTTTTTTTATCTTTTTCTTAATGTAGATTGACTTTTGGTTTCATTAATCTTTGTATATAATTTAATCTTATTTCCTTTCTCTCCTAAACAGTCCTGTTGATAGTCGTGTTTCTTCTTTGAATGTAAGCAGGCAAAGCACACAAGATTATAGGTGAGTTTCATTTTTACTAAAAATTTATGCACTTGGCTAATATCATTTTTGGTCAGGTTGAAAATACTTTAATGGTCTCCAAGAGTGATAAAAGAATCTTCATTGTTTCTTAATTACAACTTCTTTCACAACCTGATTACAATGTCTTGACAACAAAACCTTGTTAATGTTTTGTTTTATTTATGTCAATATGCTTCAGTGATATTTTTCTCTTGTTTCCCCTTTGATAAACATCCTGTGCATGAGCAACTTACCTTTCATACTTGAAACCTCTGTTTTTTGTAACATTTTGAACAGGTAAAAGTAGTTCCACCTAAAACTAAGAAGCAAAAATAAGGTATAATACTTAAGTAAAACAACTCCTATTTACAGGCATAATTTCGCTATTTTTGTATTGTGATTTATTTTTCTGCTTGACTGCTGGGTGAATGACCAAGATATTTCATCCTGAAACTTATTAAAACAAATTTATTGATGAACAAATAAAATAAATTTTATAGTGGCTAGTTATGTACTTGTAAAATCAACTATATCTGTTGAGATTTAAAAAAAAAAAAACAGCAACAAACATGTTTGAACAAAAACTAGACTAGTGACTATACATTGATTACTGTAAAGTGTCTCCTACCATTATGGCCAACATACTTTATTTCTCCATTTTTCCTTAATATACCACTAGGATGTCAAATTAAGCTGAAATGTGATGTATTGAATTTCTTGAATTTGAATGTCACTATGTACATTTAAATCAAATACTTTGACACAACTGGTTTACTTAACCCCCACTAACTGATACAGGAAATTTGTCTTGACTTTCCCACATGAAAGAGGTTAAAAATGCAACAAAATTAAAAAAAAGCAAAATGGCTTGAAAGATTAGAGCAGACAGTTCTCTATTTTTAGGTGGCTTCTTTCAGGTAAAAGAATAAAGACTCAAACTCCTGATTAGTATGTAACAATAAAGGAAGAAAAGATTTATTTACTTACACAAAAAAGGGTTTGAATATACACAATTATGAGATAAAGAAAAGGAGAAGAAAATTCCTTTAACTTTAAAGGAAGAAAAAAATGTTCATAAAAAAAAAGGCTTGCTCAAAATATTTTTCTGAGAACCTAAAAAGTTCTTTAAGCAAGTAGTAGATTGTTGTTAAAGGTTAAGACACTCACAGGTTTGTCCAGAGTTCTTGTGTAGGAGAAAACTGTCAGACTATGAATTTCATAGTTGAGTGAGTTTGTAAGCTGGCGACAGATATTTTCTAGTTGCAAGGAGGCCGATCTCAATTGGTTTTTAGTAGTGGGCTGATATTCTTTCTCGACAGCCCATAGTAGGTAGTTCTTTCTTGAAGATGACTGCTTTTCTGTTGCCGACCTCTTATTATCACAGATGCTAGTTGATTACTCACTGCCAAATAGACAAAGATTTTCTGTATATATGGAGATCAAGAGGCTCAGAAATATCGGGATTTTTCCCTCCAAAATTGCTATTTCCTAGCCCTTTCATTTGTTAGAAAATATATCCTTATCTCTGATAAGAACAAGGCTTTGGGAGCCAACGAGAGTCCGACAAGTGGCGAGCCGCATGCCTTACCCAGACTTCATGGCATCAAAGACAGTATAATGATGTTCAAACTCCTTTTTATATTTTCCAGCTCTCTCATTCGTCAGAAAATATATCCTTATCTCTGATAAGGAACAAGACTTTGGGTGCCAGATTGGAAAACAAGGAAAAAAGTTGGGAGGAGGATTAGAAAAAAGGCTACAATGTGAACCTGTAATATATTGTAGTCATGGTTCTCAAATTAAATTCTAATACTGAAGCCATGACATTAATAAGATTATTTATTCACTGTAAATGACCAGAAAAATCTCAGATTTTCCTTAACATTTTGTGATGATGATGATGATGATGATTATAATAATAATGTGTATATGCATGCATACACACACAGAAACACACACAGTTAGGATTCTCAACTCAGAGACATTGGTATGAAAATTTAATTTTCTCATTTTCCTAAATATATTTTTTTTACATCATTATCATCAGTTATATAAAATCTTTCTTTTTTTCATTTTTTTAAATGTGTTGTAAGAAAATTTTTTAAAAAAGTGTTTTGAATATTAAAATATGCATATTTTCTTTATGAAACCCAATTTAACAATGGTGTTCTTAATGCAATTATTTAATAGATTTGTTCATGGTACATCAAGTGTCTGGGGATTTTTTCTACTGTTTTGGAAGAAAGCCTGTTAATATTTCAGATGTTACAGACTCAGTATAGCAGAAAGAAATTAGATTTTGTTTTTCATATTTTTCACTTGAGAATTTATTGGCATGGCCATCATTGTTTTTTGAAAATTAAAAAGAAATCTCCCAAGTTTCAAATAAGGATATATGGAAAAAAAGTTATCTTTTTTATTTTCAAATATATATATATATATATAAAAGAATATCAAACACTTAAAATCCCATAGGTAATAATTTTTATTTCATGAGAGCTCTAAATCTTCAAGACCTACAAACAAACCACAAATGAAATGGGGGAAAAAATTATTCCGGGTTAAAATCAAGAGATATTGCTATCTTATTTAGAGATTGAGAAAAGGCAGAAAGGGTTGACCTATTTTGACATACTGACCTCACTGTCATTTGAGGATAGTGGAAGGGCTTAAAGCATAGTTAATTCAGTGTAATCTGAAACAATCCCATGTTTCTGTCAACAGCCAAATTTCAATATTGATATATTTCATTCAACAAAATATTTGTAAATAATATTAAAAGAAAACATTTTTAAAGATTTCGAAATTGGTGAAAAATTTTCATAAGCTTTTTATATAAAATTTAATTTAAATTAAAATACCTAAGAAATTTGAATTAAATGATTATTAATTATATTCAGAGAAATATATTTATAAAGGTTATATACCTAGAGTCTTGAACTTTTATATCTTAGATGTATTTATTAGCAGGATATTAATGTACTTTAAAGTAAGGAAAAGTTAGATCCAGGTTAATCCCCTGTATTTCATTCAACAAATTTTTAAAAGGTTTTTCAAAATTAGCGGAAATTTTTTTTTTTTTTATTTAAATGTAAATTAGTATAAGCTTTTTGTATAATTAACCAAGAAATTTAAGTTAAAAACTTAAGAGATTTGAATTAAATGATTATTAATTATATTCAGAGAAACATATTTATAAAGGTTATATACCTAGAGTCCTGAACTTTTATGCCCTAGATGTATTTATTAAGATTTAGCAGGATATGAATATATGTTAACCTAAGGTAAAGTTAGATCGGGGTTAATCCCCTAGTGTATATTTATTAAGTTTATGAGTTTAGTTAGAGATGTATTCCACATTAATTTCAAGGAGACCTGTTTAACTTGATTACCATGTAGCATCCAACTTGGTCAAAAATATATATATATATATATATATATATATATATATATATATATATATATATATATATATATATATATATATATATATATATATATATATATATATATATATATGCATATACATATATTCTTTCTTCAGCCATAATACATACACTGCGTCAAAGTAAAAGTCATAAAGGGACATATCACTATTATAAAAAGTAAACAACATAATTAAAAAAAAAAATTCATAACCTGCATGGCTAACAAGAATTTCAGGTAGCATCATTTGCATATTCCTATATATACATCCTTTTTATGTTTATTATGTTTTTTTTTTTTTTTTTGTTGGATTTTGTCCATTTCATAATGTGTGACATCCTTTTATATATATATATATATATATATATATATATAGTTTAAGCACAAATTACAGATCAATAACCCTATGAGTTTTTATCTGTTCATATATGCACATGCATCCACGTATTTCTCTCTAAACACAATATTCTCACAAATGCACCTATATGATTTTAACCCAGAATAATTTTTTTCCATTTCATTTGCAATTTGTTTGTAGGTCGTGAAGATTGAGATCTGTGTGTGTTTGTTTGATTTTTTTAAATTTTTTTTAAGCACTCATGAAATAAAAATTATTACCTATGGGATTTTAAGTGTTTGATATTCTTTAATTAATAATAATTTTGCTCTGTCTTTTGACATAGACCTCTCCCTGGATCTATATCCTCCTGGAAATACAGATTACCATATGGTTTCATTACTATATATATATATATATATATATATATATATATATATATAGTTGATTTTAAAGTTTCAAAATGAAAAGGAAAGCAAATAAGCCAGTTATCTTATATCCAAATGCTGTAGCTGAAACTGGCATCTTCATACAAATAAAAATGATTATCATATAATATTACATGAATTTTGATATGTTTGAAAAAAAAATTTTTCTACCAAATATATTTGATATTTTTGGGGGAATGATTTTTTTTTTTTATTTACATAGGTTGTATGTAAAAACTAATGAAAAATAAAATATCTGTTTCTATGAAAATACATGAGGTACTGGAAATTCTTTGGTCTGGCCCACATCCTAAAGTATGACCAAACATCAAAATTTTTTTTTTATTTATTTTTTTAATCTCTTTTTTTTAATCTCTTTTTGGTCAGGCTGAGAGTTCTCAGTACTTCCTCATATATAACTGAAATAACTCCAGCTTTTTCATTTGTGTATTTTATACATATGTCAAGTACTGAGGAAATTAAGCTAAACTGGAAAGCAATATTCACTATATGAAAAACAAACTTTAGATTTAAACTTGTAGCTTATCTCTTGATAAAAAGGCTTTGCCAAACTTTTTAACAATGACACTTGAATTCTTCATTTTGTACAAATTACTAAGCATTCTTCATAACAAACAGCTGTTTCCAAAGCCTAAAAGATCAGTTTATTCTTGTCAGAAAAGGAACTGCCGTTTTTGAGTAATTGGTTATAAAATATGCCTGAACTTGTTTTCCATATGATGAACACTGTATTCCTCTATATATTTTTATTTCCTTAATAAAAATATTTAAAGTATCTCTTTCACAGA